CTAGAGAGACAATTTAAGCAATACGAAGTTACTTGTTAATTGAAAAACCCATTCACAGACGTTACTCTATAGCTATTGTCATGGCTAATCTTAGTTCCAACACTGTATCTTTACAGCTAATACCTGCCAGATCACGTACATAGGGTCGAATCATGTTCATTCTCTTCGTATACCATTAGTAAGGAGGAAGTTCTACTCAGCTCAACATCAAAACAACACATTCTTACTTACCGTTCTTAATACATCCACCATAATACCTCATTGTCTCTATGAAAATCCTAACTAGTCCCCATATGTACAATTCATAGCGAAGAGCTCATTCGAAAATTACTATAAAAGTATTTATAGAAAAGGTACAAGGAAGCTACGTTACAACGGTAGAAAAGCGCCAGAACAGAGTCAATAATATTGCTGATTCTGCTTTAGATTATATCAAGGCCCTGTCGATAAATAGCAGAAGCACCGTACCTGTAGCAGCAATATTCAAAACATGGATGAATGGTAGACTTATACATATATAAGATAGATTCTGGAGAGAAAAATTCTCTTGCACGACACAGTGATCTAACCTTCTTAGCAGCTGATGTAGCAATGGATTCAATATAGTCTTTCCACTTCATAACAACCGAGAACGTTAGCCCGGGAAGGTGCAACGAGTCATTTTCCTGGAGATTATCTTCAGACATGCTGATGAAAGACAGAAAAAGGTCTCTCAGATGATTAATAGAGAGCAGTTTAGTTTTGAAAGTGTTAAAATTAACAAGCCATTCTTTACCCCAGTTAACAACAGACGGGAGGTTGTTTTGGATATCAGCTGCTAACTTGACCTTAACGAACTGATCAGACTTACTATCGAGATAGGAGTAAATAGTTGTGGCATCAGCGTAGAGACCAAGTTGAGAGCTGATGCCGTCCGGAAGGTCATTAATAAAAATTACAAACAAGATAGGACCAAGAATAGAAGCCTGGGGGACATCTGCGTTAGTACAATAGGATCTAGACGAGTGGCAGTTCAGGATAACTTTCATTTCATGATTTGATAAGAAAGACTGGATCAGTTCAAAAACTTGTCCGGAGACACCGTAACTTTTCAGCTTGTGAAGAAGACATGCATGTAACACCCTGTCAAAAGCTTTCACCATTTTTATCTAGACCTTGATGGACACATTCCGCAATTATCGTCAGTAAATCAGCAGTTGCCCTGGAGAAACGGAAGCCATATTGTTTGTCTGAAAAAAGTCCCTGAGATGTGAGATGCTTAATTCAGCATTAATTAGGGCACAGAAGAGTTTCTCCGAAAGAAGTAGAAGGCTAATAGGCCGATAGTTGTAAGGGTCGGATGGTTCACCCGAGTTCTAAAAAACTGTAACAACAGATGAGGTCTTCTAGCAGGTAGGAAAACATGAGACAGCGGGGCATTTCTTATACAGTTTAGAGAGAACAGGAGTCAGTTCGCGAGCACATTTCTTAATGACTATTACAGGGATACCATCAGGTCCTCATGCTTTGTGGGGATCCAGATTCGAGATGATAGCAGAAACCATAGAAGGGGTTACATGTATATCACTCAACATAAACTCAGTTCTAGGTAAGAAGTTAGGCAGGGATACTCTAGATGAGTTAACAGTAGAGTTTGAGAAGAATTTACGGGCGAAACATTCAGCTTTATCAACAGAAGATGTTAATACATCATTTTCATTGAAGGGAGGAAGAACAGAAAAGTTACTCTTATTTAATACACTATTACACAGCCGCCAGTATTCACAAGAGCCAAAATTGTTAGATAGAATGCGGTGCCTCATTCTCTCAGCAAACAAAGACTTATCTCTTTCGTGAACCATAGAGAAGATAGAGGTTTCACCTGTTTTGGTTTGCTTTGTTTTACGGTATATCAACCTGAATGGATTATTTAATGGCGACAATTTTTTTTATTGCTGGCAATATTTTTAACAAAATGTATTGCTGCTAATATTTTTTCCAGAAATGTATTGCTAGTAAAAATTTTTTTTCCTGAAATTTATTGCTGGTAATATTTTTGTTTTTTCCAGAAATATATTGCTGCTAATTTTTTTTGTTTTTTTCAGAAATGTATTGCTGGTAATATTTTTGCTTTTTTCCAGAAATGTATTGCTGGTAATAATTTTTCTTCAAAAAATTATTGCTGGTATTAACATTTTACAAAAAATGTATTGCTGGTATTAAAATTTATTTTTACACCTTCACAGCATTCTGACCACAGATTGGGGGTCAACTATTCTCCCATAGCTGGGGCCCTAAAAGGTGCTACCACCCCCGGGTCAGGGTGAACCTGTGAACACCAGCAATTAAGAGGTGGTTCTACGCTCCTCAAAACCTCCTGATCAGAGGCCTTGCTGTTGGATGTAGTTTATCGTCTTACCCAGGATGGGCTTTCACCTGATATTTCAGAGAAGGAATGAGCGCATCCATGTCGGCTTTGACACAAGAGGGAACCACAGTGGCGCAATTCTCGATTTGAAGGTTAAAATGTCATTCTAAAGGGGTGCCTTGATGAAAATCATGGAGTGGGTCTCAATCAGCATGCTGGTAACCGAAAGAGGTCTTATGAATTGGAGGTTCTTGTTTAATAGATGACTGGAACGAAATATCAATGGATACTACAGAGTGATCCGAGTTTCCAAGAGGACGGTGTTGCGAAGCTCGACAAGAGCGAGTAGAGGAGGTAAAAAATAAAACAAATAGAGAAGCATCTTGCTAGGGGAACGAGTAAGGAAATCCCCCGATTTGAGTAAGGCATTGGGCAATGGAAAAACTTAATGTATGATTACCGGCAACATCAGTAACATTAGAATTCTTAAGCCGCGTGCCGTTTTGAGCATTAAAATCACCGAAGGCATAGATGTTCGCAGAAGGATGGGGGAGAGAGTGAGGTTTCTATACTGTCAGAGGTTATGTCTAATATACTGCAGTTTTGAGAAGAGGGGGTGATAAAGGAAAAAGAGATAACTAACAGAGTACAATAATGAAAGACGAAAGCACATGAAAGAATTGTCTGGGAACTGGGGAAACAATTCCTTTGACATCAGAAGATTATCCTGGATATAAACACCAGAACTATACATGTGAATGCTGTAATCTTTTCGGCAAAGAGGGAGATCGCCTGGAACAGCGAATCTATTGGCAGCAATGGAAGAATTTAAGTTTGTTTCGCAAAGTGCAATGATATACGGCGACCGTTCCATGAGAAAATATTCTATAATTCTGAATTTGGACCGGATACCACGAACATTGGAGAAAGAAAGGTTTATGTGTGTAGGCGTTTTTTTTGTTTACTGGTTTTCTCGTCTTTCTTTTCATTGTTTGTCGTGAGGAGATTTGTATTAAGGAGAAAAAAAGGCCAGCATCGCTGTCGTCACTGGCAATACAAACTAGCCAGAGCGTGGCTGAGATAATATAGCCTCAGAGTTGCCCACCGGAAATACATGCAAGGACATCAACCCATGCGCGACATAGCACTACAAATACCCCGATATTATGCGACTGTTGATCAGAGCAGCCTCTTTAAATGCTAGCAAAGAGTTCGAGCTCCTTACGACCAGTCGAAAGCAGCAGCCAGCAAACTGCCAGCTTGCTACACTCGTAATGGAAAGTATCAGCCATTGATTAGTCCGATCGCCAAAAAAGTTAAGTCATTATGGCACTCATAGAAGAAAGAACAGGCAAAACATATCCTGATCAGAGAACAAGGGATTATCTACTAGTCCTGTTCAATAGACGTTGAAGGTGTACGAGCCGGGTGATAGGTGAGCCTATCTACCCCTATTACCTTGTTCGCAACACAGAAGGACAGGACAGGAGGATGGCCGATTTTATCGAGACGCCGATTCTCGGAATGTTTCCGAATAAGGCTGTAGATCCCAAAACAGGCCAAGGAGAGATTACCGGATGATTAATATAATTCTGGGGAAATCCAGAATATATCAAGAACCATTTTAGGGGAAAGAATTATGATATGACTAAACTATGAAAAGATAGATCATATTAAGTATTAACTTAATTTAAGCTCTGATGTCTCCTTGCAATTAAAAAAATCAGTTGGGAAATTAATTCAGTGTTATCCGGTAAGAATGAAGTTGGCTGTGGTCAAATATTTCTTAGCTTATTTCAAAATTATAAAGTATAACCATTCCAATTGCAATAAGTGGATTTAAATGGGGGGGGGGGGTTCAGAGATAAAAAATTGAAATTAATGGCAGTAGAAAAAAGAGAACAATTAAGAAAGCAAAGAGGAAATTTGAAAGTAAAAAGAAAAAATATACATACAACAGAAAGACGCAAGGTACATGACGCTTCATTTTACCAGATTTAAACAAGCTAATTACGTTCCATGCTAGACAAACATACTGTTACGGTAATTTACCCACGCACGCATGGACTCTTCCAGTCATAAATGGTATTTATCAATTCACCCACAGGAATTGAATGTGGCACAAGGCCTTTTTAATGTGGGTATGTCTGAGCCCGTAGGCCCAGCCAAAAATAAAACCCATCTAAACCCGTCCAAGCGGGCTAGTTCCGTCAACCTCCCCCAACGAAACCCCACCCTTCGGCAGAGCTTCGTCCGGGTTCCTCTCTGCAAGCAGAGAGTTCGACAGACACCCGACCCGGCAGCTCACAAAGCGCAGATACTACACTTTGATCCTAGCCACCGGGCCGAGCGGGTATTCTTTTTATAGATACTTCCAGTCATAAATAGGAGCAGGTACTGCCTTTTAGAGAGGGAAGTTTCCAGCAGTCAGCTCTGACAGTTGGACCGAACATTCTTGCTGTAACACTCTCGTTTGTATATGTTTGTATTACTGTTTCTGTTAATATATTTGTTTAAATCAATTCCTCTCTTGTGTCTTTATTTCTGGCCCTAACAAGGCCATAGCATACATACATACATACATACATACATACATTTTCTTAGCTCGATATTCATGTTGCGTTGAGGAAACAACTTCGAGTTTAACTGGTCTTATGACCATATCACGTTTGAACACCGGTTCTCATAGGATCACCGAAGTTAAGCAATGTCGAGTTTGGTCAGTACCTAAATGGGTGACAGCTTGGTAATTCCATGTGCTGTAAGGTTGGATGTACGGGTGGTGTAATGGATAACAGCTCGGAATATATTAGCGCGTAAGTAAATATAACGCACCCAACTGGATTCGAACTCGGCTCTCTGAGTTCCAGTTTCAGCCAGTTTCTGGTCCTAACAAGGCCACAACATTTACCAATGGCACTTTTAGAAATTAACGACTGAGAAGGAATTTGGCCGAATGATACAAGTTAACCCGACTTGTCCTTCTCTTCCATTTGTATTTCTTCCTTTCTCTATGCGCCGTGTCCCTTCAAGAAATTTGCGAAATTGGCCATCCATAATTTCCTGTACTTTAAGCTCTTAATAAATATTGTCTTTTTTTAATTTCTCCTAAACCTTGTTCTGCCATCCATTTGCTGAAGCTCTTTAGGTAGGTTATACGTTGTTTTCCTCTGCCCCTCTTGCCTTCAATCTGTCCTGTGGGTATCGTGCACATTCAGGACGTTGTTGATCATGGCTCTCCACAATTTCCTATCCTTTATAGCTCTTAATAACTTTTGTTTTTTTGTCATCACTCCCAAAAACCTAATCTGCCATCCATTCACTCAAACTCTCCAGGTAGGTTATGCACTGTTTTCCTCCGTCTCTCTTACCTCCAACCTGCACTATGTGTATCAGATTTTCCAAGACTTCTTTCCTCATTATGTGCCTCAGAAATTTAAACTCTCTCCCTGATTCCATTGTCTCTAGAAACTTCGTCATTGCAAACATGCTCTTCCCATGGTATTCTCAGCATCTTTCTGTAGAACAAAATATCTGTTGCTTCAAGTCTCTTCATTTGTGAGTAGGTTATCAAATATTCCCTGATATTATATAACAGTTCAGTACGCTTTTCTTTGTTTCTGACAATATTTTTCTGTGTTTTTGTGCCTTGTAGTGAATAATAGTATTATTTTTCGTATGAAAAATTTAATATCGGATTCATATCATTACAGTCTATATTTGACACATTTATTTTCAAGATAACTTTCCAAAAAGATACAAATGCTGGTATAGCAATACATCGAGGCACGTGTTGTTTATTAAAGCATATTATGCATAAGTGATGATTGTGTCATTGGCATTGAGTCACTGTTCCCATGTACCACAGTCTTTGGGACCCTGACAGGACATCGTGACAATACAGAATTTGAATTGGAGACATCAGTCCTCCAAAAACCACATATCTTCAACTGCCAACGTTTATTTGACGGAATCCAGCAGTGACTATAGTTCTATGCATGAAAAATTTCGTTATTTCTTACCGAACGAATATAACATTTTTGATTTTGCCACTGCGAATGATCAATTTTCATCAGAGACTTTTCCTGATGTCATCAGTTTTCAAATCGGTATACAACTATTTATTCCTGTCTTAATATTAAGTCTGATCGATTTCATAAGGTCAAATAGGCATCTGATTTTAAAAATGACCTACAGTCTGTTATTAAATGGGACAAGGAATGGCTTGTTAATTTTAACGTCTCCAAAATGAAACTGCTCACTTTTAATCGTCTGAGATAACCATTATTTCTCTCCATCAACATAATTGATGCTAACCTCCAAGAAAAGTGACTCATTAACCCTTCTCAGGCTAAGGTTTTCTGCTGGTATAAAGTAGAAAGATTATATTGAATCCATTGCTAGGTCTGCTGCTAGGAAAGTTGGTTCATTGTGCCGTGCCAGACAATTTTTCTCGCCAGAATCTGTTTTGTATATTTATAAGTCTACCATTCGTCCTTGCTTTCATTATTACTACTACAACTGGTCTGGTTCTTCTGCTATGCGTTTAGACGTTCTTGATAAAATACAAAGGAGAATCTGCAATATTATTAGTCCTGACCTGGTATATCAGCTTCAGTCCCTTTCCCACCGCCGTTACGTAGCTTCCTTGTGCATTTTCTTTTAATACTTTCACGGTAATTATTCTGATGAACTTTCTTCTATATTACCTAAGCTTGATGAATTTAAGGGCAGTATTAGATTGGCGACATTTTCTCGTAATTTTACAGTTGCAATGGCTTGATGTAACCATAAGTTCTATTCTAACATTTTCTTCTCTCGTACTTCTTGCTTGTATAACTCTTTTCCGGCTCCTTGTTTCCCAGTCAACTTTGATCTTCAAAATTTTAAATGCAATATCAATCGTTATCTTCTGCCTTCTTAATTCCTGTTTTTTTACGTGTTTCTTTCCTTGATAATATTTTTTCTCTCATATCCTCTCACACACAGTAACCCCTTGCGTCTTAGTGGCTTTATTGCTGAAGTTTCAGCTACTTAACTGTGAGTCTTTTGTGTCTGCTCTTCTTGAATTCACTCAGCTAATGATTTCGGCATAGAATCCGAACTACCAATTCCTCTTTCTATTAAAAAATAATTGATCGTAAAGCTTACGTTGTCGAACAGATAGACGCTCAATTGATTGATTATTTTTTACGACTTATCAACCTTTTGTTGGTTAATTAAAGACAGAAAATATTTTTAAGATTTACGAATTTTATGGAGATTTTATTTTTATCGCCCTGTACAAGGTCCGGTAGTCACTTGAAGTAGCGGGTTACAGAGTCTGGTTTGTTTACGGTATATCAACCTCAATGGGTTATTTAATGCCGACAACTTTTTTTTTTCTGGTAATATTTTGTTTTGTCAAAAATCTATTTCTGGTAATATTTTTTCCTCAAAAATGTATAGCTGATAATATTCTAAAAATGTATTGCTGGTAATATTTTTTTTTTTCAAAAATATATTGCTGGTAATATTTTTTTGCTTCAAAAATTTATTTCTGGTAATAATTTATTTAAAACCTATTTTTACACATTCATAAGGCTTTTTTTACCTCAGTTTCGGGGTTAATTATTTGCTCATAGTTGGGACCCTAACAGGTGCTACCACCCCGGGTCAGGGCGGACCTGGGAACACTCGCAATTAAGAGGTGATTCTACGCTCCTCAAAACCTCCTGATCAGAGGCCTTGCTGTTGGACGTAGTTTATTGTCTTACTCTGGACGCAGATGTAGTTTATCCTTATACCCAAGACGGGGGTTGCAGAGTAAGAAGTACAGTTTATGCGTATATATGTTGAAGACAATAGTTAACCCCAGAATTGAACAGGCTAAGATTAAGTAGTAATCGGGAAAGCATCCTCTTGGGAGTCAGTTCCACAGAGCAGCGGTTCTTGGGAAGAAGCTGCTCGAGTGGAACTTACGTCTCACCAATGGAATACGAAAGGAATGAGGGTGGTTGGCTACAATGGGCGTGGCATGGCGGGTCTTAACTGTGAAGGCTAGAACTAGTGGAATTAAGGAATGTAGCTCGTTTGAGCACTTTCCATGGAAATAGCGGCAGAGAAACGAGAAGCTTACGATGTTTCCGTCTGTGAAAAAAGGGTAATAATGATTTGCTATTAATCAACCCATAACTGCTTGCGGGGGTGGTAACAAGAGGTGGATTCGTACCTTTCTCAAGGGTATTTTCGCTTGTCAATATAACGAACCCGACTAGAATTGGAACTCCGCTAACCGTTTTCCAATTCCGAGCCGTTGTTCATTACACCACCGATACATCCAACTTTACAGCCCCTGTATAGCCAAGCTTATTGACCAGACGTCTTGAGTATGACGATAAACTACATCCGCGTCCTGGGTAAGATGAAAAACTACAACCGACATCAAGGCCTCTGATCAGGAGATTTTGAGGAGCGTGGAACCACCTTTTAATTGCTGGGGTTCCCAGGTCCACCCTGACTTGAGGTGGAAGCGCCTGTTAGGGGGGATCCTAGATATAGGCAAATAGTTGACCCCCAAACTGTGGTCAAAACTCTGTGTAGGTGTAAAAATAGGTTTTAATACTTGAATAATTGAAGGAAAATTTTTTACCAGTAATACATTTTTGATCAAAAATTTTTTACCAGCGATACATTTTGATCAAAAATATTTTTCCCAGCGATACATTTTTGATCAAAAATGTTTTTACCAGCGATACATTTTTGAAAAAAAATTACCAGAAATACATTTTCGAAGAAAAAATATTACCAGCAATACATTCTTGAAGGAAAATTATTACCAATAATACATTTTTGAAGGAAAAATTATTACAAACAAAATATTACCAGCAATACATTTGTGAAAAAAATATTACCAGCAATAAAAAATCTTGTCGGCATTAAATAACCCATTGTGTAAAGTAAAACAAAAAAAAAACAAAAAACAAAACAAAAAAACAAAATAAAATAAAACAAAAAACAAACTAAACCAAAAAAATTTTTTGTTGCCATTAAATAACCCTTTGAGGTTGATATGCCATAAAACAAATTAAACCAAACCAAACCAAACTGACCAGGCTCGACGTTGCTTAACTGCGATGATCGTATGAGAATCGGTGTTATAACAAGATATGGCCGTAAGGCCGATAGACGCCCAAACCACGCAGTAACTCTTCATCTCAACCAGTCACGATGAATGGTTTTACTCTCAAAGCGATTACTTGCTTTCAGCGTCTGCTGAGAATGAAGAACATTCCCCAGACCTCAAGTAAAAACTCATATATTGGAACCATAGCTAAAGACATTTATTTACCGTCCCATAAAATACTCGACTCCCTCTGTCGGTCCCTATCTTTTCAAGTTATCTAATTATAAGGATATACAGTAGATACTCGTTTAACACGCGACCTCGAATATCATGCGGCCCCCAAATTTTAACTTAAAAAAAATCATTTTATCATAAATTTCGTGTATCATTTCAGTTACTTTTTTGAGAGACCAAATTACAATAGACTAACATCTGTTCCTCTATCTCTTCATCCCATCTTCTATTAAAAAAGAGAATGATAAAAGTATCGTTAGTAACGCTATTCTCGTTGCATAAACGCGTATAGCCATAAACAACCGAACGAGAAACATAAACAATGGAAAAGATGCATATTCGCTATGATTGTATTTTATAATTGTTGTGGTAGGATCCACCTAATTTGCATAGTGGAGTACCGACCATATAAATATGGTTGGTACC